TAGTAGAACCAGGGTAATGTGTAAATGCAAAGGCATATATTGTAAACTGAGATCATTACCTGGCAGTATTTACGAATATTGTTCTAAATAGTGTTGCAAGTATTGAAGATGTTAAAATATATTTATCCGTTCAGAAATTTCAGTTTCTCGTTTTAACGGGGTTTTTAGCTAAATTTTTTTCAACACATTTAACGCCGAGTGTAAAAAAAAACTTTATAACGATAATAAATATAATTTTAGAGTAAATTTTTATTTAAGAATAACTTTTAAGCGAAGTCATCATGAATAAATTGAGCGACTGCTTCGTATTTCCTAACTAACACCTTCGAATCCGCGTTATGAATGGGCTAGATATCAAATTACAACGACGTGCTCCTGAATAATAAACGATGAATCATTCACAAAATATACAAGATTTTTTTTTTTTAAATAAATGTTTTATGATATTTATATTGTAAAATCGACGATTCCGATGCGCAGTTTTATCTTATCAGATTAAATTGATCACTATCTGCTTCTTGCTGTTACTATCTGCCTCTGGCTATGGAAGAGCGGGATCTTCTGGCACAGGTGCTTTTACACTTAAAAGAAGATTCCAACCATGTTTCAAGATCATTGTCAATAATATTAGTTGATCAATCAAGATTGAATTATTCATATAATTTATTTATCACCAAAGCTGTTCCTTCTGTATATCAATGATATGTTGCAAACTGCTAACATTTATTGCTGTGCGGATGACAGCAATAGGCGAGGCTTTATACAACGGCCGTGCCAATATTTTTCGGGTAAACGTCGCCGCATAAAGGAACAAACTTGTGTCTGAAGGTTCAAGAGCTTACCTAACCGATTTGGAGTCCGTGGGGACGCCCGAGATCCCTTCTCTGAAATAGCCGCCGAGTCCTCCCATCCAGTCACCAACTGGCACGGTATAGAATTTCGGGATTTTTCACGAATTAGTGGGACAGTTTTTGGCACGTGGCTTGCGTACTCGGGGCCCCAACTACCTGCGGTCGGCCAAAGGCAAGACTGTGCCTCTGATCCCGCTACAGCACAGCTTACGCTGCAGTACAGCTTTGCTCAGAAGTCCAGACTACTCTTGAGCTGCGCAGCTGATGGCCCTTCTATCCCCCAAAGGCACTGGTACTCCCTCTCACGGACGGAATGCAGTTAGCTGTTTCGCGACTAACTCCGACTGGAGGATGGCAGCAATCCTCCAGTAGGATCCCAGCCACATCGAAACCCAGCCTTATTCTTAGCAGACTATTCACGGACTAATAAGGATTCCAACCATTACTTTGCCAGACTTAAATCAGACAAAGTTAGAAATTGCTAAAATTAATAATTTGTTGGTTCAGCAATGTTCCGTCTACATTTATTGTTCCTTTGTGCTTTATGAAAAGCAGATTATTCCCTCAAACAAAAAACTTCAAAGCTTTAAAATTTTCCGTCCGCATTGTGCATAAATTCTTAGAGGATATCTGATATCACACGCGTATGTTTGTCGGTCTGTGTGTTTCATAGAAACGTGGGTGTTCAGACTAAATAGAATTTTGTGCAAAATATAAGCTAAATTCCTGTCTGTGATATTTTTATTTTTAAATTAGATTTTCATTTTATACCTGAATATCATAAACGTTATTTTATATATTTAAATATCTCCTTCTTCATCATACACCTCTAAAAGTTTTGTGCTTGATATATGCCTTTCCCGATTTAGGAACGTTGCCTTAATCCTCCCTACAATTAAATTGGCAAAAAGACTGAAGATCATGGTACCAGACAATACCAACACGCAGTAGAGCAACGCGGTGAACTATTTGTTAATTGAATACATACCTTCAACGCATTTGCAGTTCCTATGATGTTGCAATTGTTTATGAGCAGCGGTAGTCACTAACTATCAGGTGAGCGGCATGCTTATTTGCCTTACCCTCTATAAAAAAATAAAAAAAAGAAATACTTATATAATAATACAGTACCCAACTGTAGGAAATACCCATGGTGTAAATTTACACATAATATTGTTATATACCTAAATTATTTATGTCAAAATCATTTCAAAACAACGCAACCCTAAGTAAATTTTAGCAAATGCGCGGTAACATTTTTACATATTTTCAATAAAATATCATAGCTCTCTAAGATCATCTATTTTCCGCCATCAAGCATCCTTTGTAAGTTAAAGAAAAGCATATTCTTCTCACAGACTTAAAGTTAATAGGTTTTAGAATGCTTCTATTCTTTTACGTTTTGGGTGAGTTTGAAAATCTAGAAATATTTTGTAAAATTAAATATTACGAATACAGTGTTGTAAACTTTTGCTCCGTGAAGACAAGGGCCTTGTTATAAAAGATTTCCCAGTTCTTGTTGAAGTTCGTACTCCTATAAGAAGTTTTTAAGGTGGTAATTCTAAAATAAAATATAATAATTTCACATAATACTTAATACGTAATTTCACAAAATATCACACTATTATAAATAGCAAGCCCTTTCACTTATATATGTACCTATATATTGGGTATTCATGCATGAGTGTAATTAGCCGAAAAACGAGAAGGTTCTATATTCGACGCCTTTTTACATTATATTTTATAGGATAAGGGTGACAAACGAGCACACAGTCAACCTGATGTTATGTGGTTGCTGAGGCCCATAGACATCTACATATATCCTCAATTACGAATCAAAATGCAGATGCGTTGTCACGCGTGAGGACTAAGATGGAATGCCTCGTTTCCAGTAAAAAGGATCTCCGGTTCTCTACACTCACCATACGAAACACAACAGCGTTAAACTGCTATTTTACGCTGGTATTCTGTGAGAGAGTGGTTGTTCCTCGGTCGGTCAGACCCATTCGTGCTACAACTATACTATTAATATAACTGCAGTAGGGCTCTACCACGTATAAAAGCCTCTAACGACACCTACGGGTCGATATGAGGCACTTCCTCATACTACTTCATCATAGATTTACACCACCACTACTCGGTGGATCCCTATTTAATTTAAATAATTGAAAGAATACAAGTAACGCTATTGACATTACTAACGCATGACATTATTAACCACTCTGAGTAAGCTTAAAATGCTTGTGTTGGAAGAGGTTCTCAAATGATAGTCGAATGGCAGAGACTACTGTCGCTTCCTAGCCCATAAGGATATAGTCCGTAAGGAAGATCTATGAAAAACAATAGAATAGTATCATCCTTATTCAATATACTCGTAGATAATCATATAAATATACATAGGATTAATAGTTCCAGGTGTCATTATCAATCTTGGACTATTTAGTAGTATAAAAACCCGTACTAAATAATTTTTGCTTAATTTATATTTAAAACCATTTGATAACTAAGGCCTACATATTTCTGGGATTTTGTTGTAAAATGGTATGTAGTGCTCGAGAAGTATTAAAGTAATGCCTATCACCACAGTATAATATTTATAGACTGTGCTATTACTAAGAAGTTTTAAGAGCAGGTTAAAATCGTCATGATGGTTTCTGTTGAAGAAAAGAAATAATTTAACTCGTTGAAAATAACACACATACTTAAAAATATCGACTTACTTAGTCTCTTTATATTTGAATAAAAATTACTATATTTTATTATTAAAATTATAAGTTACCGTATTTAACTAATAATTTTTAATTCAATTTTATTAACACTCTATTTCGCTCCCCGTCAATAGGCTACCGGGGTTGATACAGCTATGAAAATAGCAATCTCCATAATTAGATTTATTTTTTTTAAATATATTTAAGGTATGTTTTATGAACTAATTAGTCTACGACACAGGTAAACGCTTATGGCATTCCCAGCCTTTACATATTCAACGTGCTCAGTCCCTTTTTTCCTTGAAAAAACTACTCGAAACTTATTACTTGGAGCTCTAATTTTTTTCCTATTATAATTCCAGTCCTTAATTGTATCTATCCTACCTATCTTCAACCGCCGTCATCTTAAGTGTATATATATATAATTTTGTATACTCCTAATGTGTATTGGTGTACAATAAAGTATATATTGATTAATTGATTGATTGATCGACTGATTAATACATAAAATAGAAACACAGCTATTATCAATAATAACAACTTATGCGGTTTTCTTATGATTTGTACCACGTTGCATTACATAAAGCGAAGAAGTAAGTTGCCTTGAATCCTGAAGTCAATTTTAAACCTATTGTTCCGAAAGAATAGACCAATATGAGATGGGATATTGAAGATTTTCTCAATGCACCCATTGAAATTTGATGTGAATTTAAGATTAAAGTGTCTTACTGTATGAAATATCATTGAAAAGCTTTATTTGTTAAAGTAAGTAGAAATAGATCAATCTAAAAGCCGTAGTCGTAGCCGTAGTCGCCGTATATATAATATATTTGATGTCGCCGAACTCGAACGGCTACACGTGAGACTGTGTTCCTTCATCGGGTGAAAATGTTACAGCTGAGGATGCGGCGCCACAACTTGCAGAGCAAAAGGCAAACGTGGATGCCGCCGTGAATACCCCAGTTGTGGTTGATTCAAACGATGATGGAACAATCGCCCAGGAACCCGAACTAGAGCAAATGAGGAGTACATTGGAAGAGGCGATTGTGGAAACGCGCAGTACGCCTATCGAAAATCGACCGCGACTTCCCCGCATAGCCCTAATCAAGCAGAATCGGGCTGTTGTGAGGGCTCTGAACTCAATGCTGGTGACCTATTTGGAAGCCAGCCGGGACCTTTGCGAGACGGACTCTACTCTTTTTGGCGCCACACTGACAGTCTGCCGTATTATAGGCGCCAAATTTTCCATGGCTGGACGCGCTACTGGACAAAATAGTGCTATCCCAGCCTGGAGAATAAGAATTGAAGAAGGTATCGCAAAGGCTAGGGCCCTCATCCGCAGACTGATATGCTTCAGGTCAGGCAATACCAGGCCAAGGATTATGCGTGCCGTCAGGATGGCGTTTGCTAGGACAAATGTTTTTTGTCCCAGTCGGATGAAATGCAAAAACTGACGGAGCGCATAGATGACCTGAAGCAGAGAATCGCTGCTTGGGGAAAGCAGATTCGGCGATATACTGAGAGCTCGACACGGTTCAACCAGAATCGTCTCTTACAGAGTGATCAGAAGAGGCTCTATAATTCATTGAAGCGACCAATGTTAAGTGGAACGGGCCCAGCACCGAACCAGGCCGACACGGTCGCATTCTGGCGCAGCTTGTGGTCAGAGCCCGTAAACCACAGTGAGGGCTCTTGGGTGTAAGTTGTGGCGAGCTAGTGTGCGGGTATTACACCCATGGATCCCGTCATCATAACACCGGTTGACGTAGCTGAGGCGATACGTAGGGCCCCAAATTGGAAAAGTACGGGGCTTAAGGTGCTTCATCACTACTGGCTGAAAGGGTTCATGGTGTGTCACGCTGTGCTCGCCCGACAGTTTCAAGAGGCTCTCAACCAAAAGTCGCTCCCAAGCCTCTTCACTACTGGGATCTCTCATTTGGTTCCTAAAGATCAGGGTACCACAGACCCGAGAAAATACCGCCCCATCACGTGTCTACCGACCATATACAAGACACTAACGTCCATTTTGAGCGCGAGAATCACTTGTCATCTGGACTCAAACCAGGTGATGTCGCGCGCTCAAAATGGATGTCGGGGCGGCGGTCGTGGAACCAAGGAACCACTCCTCATTGACGCGGTCATTGGCAAAGTGGTGAAACGCAACCGTCGGAACTTCCCGCCCTGGACTACAGAAAGGCATTTGACTCGGTGCCCCATACATGGCTAAAGAGGGTCCTCGAGCTGTACAGTGTGTGGCAGTTTATGGGGCAGTGGAATACGATCCTCTGTCAACTAGGCGAGTGGATGACCGCTGCGAAAAGCCGCATAAGGATAAAAAGGGGTATATCCCAGGGCGACTGTCTAAGTCCAATCTGGTTCTGCCTCTCTTTGAACCCTCTCAGTAATTTACTGGAGGGCTCCGGGAAGGGATTTCAGCTTCGGAAAGGAGGTACAAAAGTGACCCACCTTTTCTATATGGATGACCTTAAGTTATTCGCCTCCAGTCGCTCCCATCTTATGGAATAACTTGGAATTGGTAATTTTATTGGAATGGAGCTGAGGACGGATAAGTGTGCGGTCCTCTATGTTGAAAGGGGAAGGGTTGCTAACTCTGAGGGCATAGACTTATCTATGCCCGTCAACTTAAGGACCCTTTCCGAGACTGAAACATACTGATATCTCAATTATCCCGACAAAAGTCGACTAGATTAAGGCCCACAGTAACCCAATTCGACGAATAACTAGAGGGGCGGGCCCATAATATAATGTAATGATAATTAAATTATAACTGCAAGATACGCAAACACAAAACTTACTGAATTCCAGAAGTAGGGTCTACCACAAGATGGCGTCAGGAGCAAGTAAATGGTAGTGTGTGTGTAGTGTAGGAAGGTGTGTAATGTAATGTGACTTCACCGATAAAATCAGATAGCAGCAACACGTGCGTTGACCGCTCCACAAGACGCTCACCGCTATCGGAACTCAAGTCCAGCGTCACTTAGCACGAACTATAATCGCGCGCGATCTACGACCGGATCACAAAGTTCAACGTTCCACACGACAAAGCAAAATACCTTCGTACACTTTAAGTAATTTATTTTAACTTTAATTAGCTACACAAGCCACTCGTCGACAAAAATTAATAGCGATCAATGTTAAAATAGTCAATCAAACGCAAAAAAGCCTCGTTGTCGCGTATATTAACGCCCGAATACAACAACATGGAGGCCGACGATATTCGACGAAACGACTATTATGTAACGCCCGACGTCTAACCGGCACGGCTGTAGCCCTCAAAAGATTCCTGCCGACTGCCAGGCGCAGTCGCCGGCGCAAATGAATACTCCCCCCGCGCAACCCGCTAACCGGTACCTCACCCGGGACGCGCCTTGCAAGCTTCAAATGCCACAACTTGGCGTAAACACTGGGTATGTCACAGAACATCGGTATCGATGAGGCTGGTATGAAACAGTCAGTTTGCGACATGTTTTATGCACGCTTGACCAAAGTGCTTAACAGCCTTTTATCCGGTGTGAATAAGGCACACGCATATAACGGCTGGGTCATGCCTGTCCTCATGTATACCTTTGGCACACTCAGGTGGACTCAGACTGAACTTAACGCCTTGTATATAAAAGTCCGCACTACCATAGCGTCCCATTGCATCATCCGAGATCGTCAGTAATGAGGATGTACTTGCTGCGAAAGCATGGTGGGCGTGGCTTCCTGAGCGCGCTCACCATGCATAATCACGAAGTGTTCAGCCTCTGTAATTACTTCCTGGATCGGATGATCAATTGTGTAATTACGTCATTTCTAGCGATAAAGGGCTTAAACCTCTATCCTTAGCCAAAGAGAAATGGCTGGACCCCGCAGAACAAAGAATTTCCGAACGGCAGACCGTATGGAAGGAGAAGGAGCTCCACGGGAGGTACTACAGGGCTCTACATGAACCCTTCGTAGATCTGTATCTACGAAGGGTTCATGTAGAGCCCTGTAGTCACCTCCCTCAACTGGCAAGGTTTCGGTGACCTTTTCGGGGAAACCGAGGGTTTTGTCTGTGCAATACAGGATCAGGTTATTAATACCAACAACTATCGGAGATACATCCTAAAGGATGGCACCGTCGACGACTGTTGAGCTTGTCGCCATCCCGGTGAGTCATTTAGGAATATCATCTCCGGTTGTTAATCATTCATCATCATCATTACAGCCCTTCACAAGTCCACTGCTGAACATAGGCCTCCCCCCAAGTAATGCTACAAAGCACGGTCCTAAGCCACCTGCATCCATAGACTTCCTGCATGGCTTACCAGGTCGTTACTCCATCTAGTGGGGGTCACCCTACACTACGCCTACCGGTACAACGCTGCCATTCAAGAACCTTTCTTCCCCATCGGTTATCGGTCCTTCGAGCTATATAGCCGGGGCTATGTCGGTCACTCTGGTTTTACTGCGGATATCCTCATTTCTGAGTCTATCATGCAGAGAAACTCCGAGCATAGCCCTTTCCATAGCTCGCTGAGCGACCTTGAGCGTCCTCATACGGCCAGAAGTGAAGGATCACGTCTCAGATCCGTAAGTCATCACTGGCAACACGCAGTGGTTGTACACTTTAGTTTTCAGAGATTAAGGTATACCTGACAAGAAAATGTGTCGTAATTTCCCAAACGCTGCCCAACAGTTGAATCCGTCGATTGACCTCTCGGTCGAAGTTGGACTTACCTAGTCAGACTATTTGTCCCAGGTAAACGTACTCGTCAACAACTTCGAGCATAGTGCTCCCAACAACTACTGGCATAGGTGTGACATGGACATTGAACATGATTTTTGTTTGTCCATGTTCATCTTAAGATCTATCCGTTGGGAAACACCATTGAGGTCATTGAGCATAGTGCTAAGGTCCTCCAGCGATTCTGCCATAAGGATTATATCGTCGGAAAATTGAAGGTAGGTGATGTACTCGCCATTGATGTTAATACCGTATCCTTTCCAGTACATTAGCTTGAAAACGTCTTCCAACGCAGCGGTGAAGAGTTTCGGGGATATAACGTCACCCTGTCTTACACTTCTCTGCAATTGAATAGGTTTTGAACTCTGGTTCTGTACTTGGATAGCCATCGTAGCCCTACTGTACAAATACTTCAGCACTTCGATGTACTGATAGTCAACTTGGCACCGCAGAAAGGACTGTAGCACCGCCCAAATTTTGACGGAATCAAAGGCTTTCTCATAGTCTTCATACGCCAGGTAAAGTGATAGATTGTACTCTTCGGTCTTCTGTACAGTCTGCCGCAGGGTATGTATGTGGTCTATGATACTGAAGCCTTTTTGGAAACCGGTTTGTTCGGGAGGCTGGAATTCGTCGAGTCTGCGTGCGAGACGATTCGTAATGACTCTCGAAAACAGCACGTAGACGCGGCTCAGAAGGGAAATCGGTCTGTAGTGCTTTAAGAGACCGTTGTCGCCTTTCTTAAAGAACAAGACCACCGAACGTCTGCTCCGTGCCTCCGGAGTTGTGCCACCATGGAGGACGGAATTGAAGAGCTTCTGAAGGACTTCAAGTATCGGTGTTCCACCCGCTTTCAGAAGCTCCGCTGTAATTCCATCCTCGCCTGCCGTTTTTAAGATGCTGGAGAGCCATTCTAATTTCGCTCAGAATGACGTCCGGGATATCATCGAAATAGTAGCAGATAAGACATGCTCTTGGATCGTTACTCACACTTTCGTGTGGCTCCAACGATGATTTGTACTGCTGCCCATAGAACCTCTCAATCTCAATCAAAATCTCATGTGTCCCGGAAACGTTGGTGTCACATTCAGTCTTTAGCTTTAACAGTTGGCTCTTGCTGGCAGACAGATCTCTGGCAAAGACTTTGGAGCCCTGGTTCCGATCGATCGCTTCCTTAATACGAGCAGTGTTAAAGTTGCGTAAGTCTCGCCGCATGCATTTAGGTATCTGTCTGTTCAGTTGCCTGTATGCTGTCAAATCTGTTGACGAATGCAGCCTCATCTCCCGTCTAACAGCCATGAGATTAAGAGTGTGATTTTTTTGTGTTCTTCTGTGGCGGGTCTTGCAGAAGTTAGCTCCGACCGCATGGACAGTTTCCACGAGCTTGTCATTCATATCGTCCACTACATTGCAATCTTCTAGGCACTGAAAGCGGTTACGTAACTCGAGCTGAAACGTTTCGGGATTCTGGATTAGAGCACGAGGGGGACGGAGCGTTGACTTCATTAGACGAGACCTCTCCAAATTAACGTTTAGGTTCAGTGTGCTTCTAACCATTCGGTGATCGCAGCCGGTTTTCACCCTTGCGTCATGTGTCATGCGTTGGCGTCTGGTCGTCATAATGAATTCAATCTCATTTTTTGTCGAAACGTCGGGGCTCGACCAGGTCCACTTCCTGTGCGGCCGCTTCTGAAAGAAAGAGTTCATCATAAAGAGTCCCTCTTTCTCCATAAAGTCGGCCAGCTGCTGGCCCCTTCGGTTCCGTTGCCCTACTCCAAATTTCCCTAACTTCAGCTCACCGTTTTCTCTTGTGCCTAGTTTCGCGTTAAAGTCTCCCATCAATACCGTATAGTGGGTTTTGGAGGAATGCATGGCTCTGGAAAAATCATCATACATTTCCTCCACCTCCTCATCGGGATGTGTCGATGTCGGTGCGTAAACCTGTATGACCTTCAGCGAATACCGTTTGG